GGACCCACTACACGGAAGGAAGGAACTGCTGTCCTCTCACAGTTGAGAGATTTCCACGTGACTTATGCTCCCCATGCTCATCATCTTCTCTCAGATACCACGTCTGTATTTTTATCCCCAAAGCAATATCCGGACGTAGGATTGTGGTGGAGTGGCACGGCGCGGTAAGGTGTTTCACATCGCCATAACGAAGGCCGCCGGCTAGCTCGACTAAGACATCTAATGGTACGGGTTCGATGGAGCTATCAAACTGGACGGCTGTTCTATTATCCGCTCGTACTAAGTGCTTGTGTTTTCGTAGGTAGGCGAGGAAAGAGTCTCTTTCTGACGACTCTATCAGAATGTCGATGTCCGCTGTGTGCCTCTCATTTCCCATGAGGCGCATAGCCCCTCCACCAACAACAATGAAATGAGGGATATTTTCAACCAATGCCAGTTTGTTAATTGCCTCTATCACATTTTCACTTTTCACATTTGCCATGGCGAGCTATTGGGAATCGGGGCAGGGGAGCGGGTGAGCAAGGGAGGCCGTAGTCGGGAGATTTGGCTAAGTTGGATGACACGCGGTATGTTGCAACTTTTCAAAAAGTTGAAGAAGCATCCTTGGAGGAGCTATGAGGGACACAGAAAAGTTATTGCAGGTAAATTACAAGTCTACCAACACTCGCGCGGTGATATCAACACTGGGGTTGGCCATCGCGGGGTAGGAGGTAACCAATAGCTTGGTCGTGGCAGCTTCGACTTGAGCTCGGCAATCCTGAAGGGTTTCTGGGGTAAACTATCCGTGGCAGTTGCGACGTCCATTTCGCCATCCTGTACAGCTTGTCTCAAGCGGCAAATGTCTGCTCGATCAGAATGAGATAGCATTTTGTAAAAGTATTTGATGAAGAACTGATTTTCAGGTGGTAGACGCTCTCGTAGGTCCTCAGGACATAATACGATCATCCCAGAGTAGATCCATTGCATATGGCAATGTTCAAGGTAGCGTGGCTGCACACGAGCGGTCACAATTTGGTCGACAAGAGTCTCTATCATAGCTGGGAGTGTGAAACAGGATTTGGTCAGTATCTTCTGCCCATCTATCGACCTACCAGCAACACAAGGTCCTTACAGTCTAGAAAAACCGAAAATCGAGGAAATGGACATGATGTTGAAGGAAGCATAGTTATCGAGGCTTGGTAATGCGCGGTTCCGAGATCAAGATGCCAAACACTCGCTGGAGACAGTATCATGCCAACATTAGTCCCCAATGTACTGTGTTTGATGCGTATACTGGCATCGTCCTCAACAGTCTCTGTGCCACGACGTTCAAAAGGCACTTTCTTGAAGTCATGGGAAAGAAGATACGCGGCAGCGTCCGAGATCTGATCATCACATATAGCAAAAACGAGATCAGCCGCAATCATATTGTCCAGGCCATATACTCTGACTGCAAAGTCGCTGACAATGCAAAGACGGTAACCAGCTTTTGCAAGGAGCTCAGCCGCATAAAGCTGTGGAACAAAGCACGCGACATGGGAATCGCCAACATCTTTGTAGCGATCTGAATCCATTTCTCCAGTAAAATGCCCAGGGATATATACTCTTGTCGTATCGTTGGTATCGAGTGGAACCGAATACGAGAGCGAAGAAAACTTGAATGTAATGTTTCTGATATGTCAGTCTCAGACGGCAGAATCTGGCAGATTTAAGAGTGCTTTTATGGCAGACTGTGGAGCTTTTATATCACATCATATCAGACTACAACACAGCATCGTGGATCGCTAATCCGCAATAGGAAGCCTAAGGGCCAACCTTAACAAAGTTAAGGTTCGAATTGATTTAGTTCAGCCCTGCCGGATAACCTATTAGGCCGCTGGGGCAAAAGGAGCTCAATCAACCACCAGCGGCGCCATGGTGGTACAAGGGGGCGAATTACCCAATCTAATCCCTCCAACACAATCCGCCTGAGTGCGCGACTTGACGCGGGAAATCCATTCACCGCCTTGACAACATCCTGTTGGCTGGACGTTTGCATCAAAGAGAGCCTATATACTACCTATTACGGACTAGCGCACTGCACATCTATGCCTCAGCTGCCTATACAACTACTTAATACGTTCCCACAACATCTCATTCCTTCATCTGATTTGTATTCTCCTCCAGTATATCATAAGATCATGATCCCTTTCATCCAACGTCGTCATTTCACTCCTCTCCTTCCCTAATCTTGCCAATGGGCTACCTTTCAATTAGAAAACCAATGTCCAACATGTGATTGATCGGATTCAAAGCGAAAAACCTGCCGGTACACAAGCCATGTAAAACTCTTCTACGGCGCCGACACCGGGGCGTCTGATCTCTGGGATCCGATGTGGTCCTCAAGGAACGGCCGAATATAGGTCCCCAGGATGAAATGGCCAACATTCAGTTTATCAAAGAAAATACTCAAATTCCAATACCTAGTGGTTATAAAGGAATGGACCGATGACAACGATCGACATTTTGTCCTCATGGAACGCATTAAAGGTCAAACACTTGAGGATGCGTGGCCAACCCTGTCCAGTTCTGATAAAGAACGTATAGCGGATCAAGTGGCCAAATGTCTGGTGCAGCTGAGGAGCTTGTAGTCGCCCCAAATGCAGAGCCTCAACCATCGCCCTCTATACTCAGGTTGGCTGTTCCTTCGTGAGCCTCTGACCCCACATGGCCCGTTTACCTCGGAAACCGAGTTTTGGGATTTTCTCTCGCTCAAGTTAACCAAATTACCCAAGGACGCATTAGCGAGATTGAGAACACGTCTCCCTACATCAGCTCCGTATACGTGTACACACGGCGATTTAACCTTCTGCAATATTATCGTTAAGGACGGAAACCTGGCTGGGATTCTTGACTGGGAAAACGCGGGATACTTCCCTGTTTGGTGGGAATATGTAGCTGCGACCATTGGTTTGGATAAAGAAGATGCGGAATGGAAGGCTCTGTTACAAGGAAAGTTAGGTTATGATTATCTCGAGGCAAAGAACTTTTGGGGAGATTTTTACTCTATACATTTCTATCCGGACTTGGACGAGTCGGGTCAGCAGCTGCTAGAAACCTTGCTGGAGGACAGTAAGTAATGTCCTCCGCAAACGCCAAATGCGAATGATGGATGTACTTAGTTTTAATTTGATACCATAAATCTCAAAATTCCGGTTCGCGTAACTAGCACACACTGACCTAACTCCTGATTCGCAACCAGGGTCTTACTTTTGCGTGAGGTTACAATTGAACATTGAGAGAAATATCAGGCAACTGCCCAGTCCATGCATGTATATTGATGTTACGTCTTCCCCAAGCCATATATCTCTGCCCCACCAATTGCTCATCGTGTATATGAAGACCGAGAATAACATTAATATCACATGCCATGGAAAACAAGAAACGTCCCTTCCACATGCCACCCACTATGACGCTTGCCCCTCTTCTCAGCAGAATGTCGAGAATGCATGAGGGGTAAACTGCTCAGCCGATACTAGCACCCATCCATAGATTCCTGGACGCCCGACATGGCTTTGGCTGAAAAGGGAAAGGAAGCCGTGAGCCACGAGTTTGAAATTTGATGTCAATTCAGACGCTACCGCAAGGTTGTTGGTAAGTACTAGTATTTTCGGTAACCTATATACTACACATATGGAACCAGCTTGGATTCATACCTTTACCACGAATAGCAGGTTCGCACCACAGCAGGCACATTTCATAGCTCCCGTCATATTATCGTGCCCACATTTACGGCAGTTCATTGTTGTGGTTGTAGTTTCTTGGAGGTAGGAAAGGGAGAGTGTACTCCGTAGTGATTGGTATAGTTAGCGATTGATGGTTTGGTGGAGCGGGTTGGCAATGATATTGTTTTGGCAGAGTGGTGGTGGAGGAAACAAAAAATATATAGGTTAGCTAGACAAACACTTCTTTTATAATATATCAAGGAGTTTACTCAACCCTCCTCTCATTTTGCTCAGTGGAATCTTTTTCTAATGAAGGGGAGACAAACAATTGAGACTGCTACAGGTTTCATTTTGTATAAGAGCGTCTTGCGTTCAGGAATCAAGGTTTCTGTTCAATAACAATCATAGTGCTTCAAGTTAGATGTCAGTCCATGCGACATTTGTCACTACACTCCGCTGTGAAAATGGCAGCCAAAGGAACATGTCATGGCCTATTGACACACGCTGCAGGCAGTTCGTCGCTGGCAAACCTACAAAGTCAAAAGTTTCTTGATATGCTAACACAAGACCAAACAGCACAATGAGATGGCGTGGTTTAGATAGTTGGGACACTACGGACTAGTAGAACTAGTTAACTAACTAACCAATGGCAAACTGACATCAGCGCAAAAACGCTAACTAGTTAAACGTGAACATACAAGCATACCTAGCGGACACCAACAGAAGGCTAACCTTCGACAATCCGTCAGATTGCAACGGAAAGCCTGGGTGACTGTGGTAGGAATCCAATTTTCAACATGGCGGCGTCACCAGCAAGAAATGAGTCAAGGTCAAGTTATTCCCTGCGTTCAGCTTGGCCACAGAGGGCTCCTCGAGCTGTCAAGTTTCTCCCAGAGACTCACGCTGTTCCCATTGAAAGTCCTGGAACACCAGCGGACTTTGTCAAGTAAGGATGGAAGAGAAATTGTTCCAGACCTTCCCTGGCGACCGAGTCACAGACTCCATGCTTGGTGAGGCCGCAAAACTCTTTAACGAGAACTACGGTATCTGGGGGAAGCTTTCACACAGCCCAGGTAAGCATGATGCTATGTCCTTCATTACTCCAGCTGACGCTCCCTCAAAGGAAAACCCGTCAGGCTCAGCGCGCGTCGTCTGCGGGAGCAATACTTGCCCGACCCCGCTACTACAAGCTACGTGCGGATGGCCGTGGATGGGAATCTTGCTGGAAATGCTTTCGCGTGCCGTTGGAAACACGGCGAGAAGAACATTTGCTGGGTTACTCAGTTGGTTGTTGACCGTAGATTCCGTGAGCGTGGACTTGCGAGCGCGCTGTTGAGGTCCATTTGTGCCGATACATGAGCTCACATCCGGCTGCGTGCATGGCAGCCGCGTCATCTTACGGGAGTAAGCATTCCCTTCTTCCGTCATTCCTCTAGCAAGAAGTACGTGGGTTCTGATTCTAGTAGGGGGTATCGAAAAAGCGCCGTTGGGCTTAGTCGAAGCGAACGCCAAAGCAGTCTTAGAAGCTTTGCCAATACCTTATATAAAAAATGCAAGGTTGTGCGGCTCCCTCTTCAATCTCGAAGATTTAACAGGACTCGTTTGCGAGGTCGACACTGGATTCTTTGTGGATCACAAGGAGCCCCTGGAGGTTGTAGAAGTGGTCCGTCAAGATTTGCAGTGGCCACTCGGGGATTTGCCAGGGGGTCATGGATATCTCCTGATTCTGCCCGGCAAAAAACGCAGATCGAGGTCGTCCTCGTCATCCCAATCCAAGGGAGACATTATACCGACTCAATCGGTGGCTTACTGCTGATGAAGGATTAACCGTCAGCAAGCGCAGACTATATTGTTATGTGCCTCAACTGGAGATAGCTTCCGTTCTTTTTCATTTTCGAGAACACGATAAGTGGTCAAGAATTGACTTGTTTTTCAAATGGATCCATAAGAGCCTGTGCTCGCTGTTGGATATCCCAACCAGCGTAGATCGTATTCTGATCAAGCCCATAGTGCAGGAAATATGGAAGTACCGATGCTCGGAATCAGGTCTCAACCCCTTTCCTGCTGAACACTTGCATCTCATTCCAATGTCACCAAATTTGTATCGTTACAATGATAAAAGCAGTGAAAATTGAACAATCATTCAAAATACGCTCATTGTTATTGTAAAAGTGAAATGGTAATAACAGTGTAGAAAAATCATAACCGAGCAAAGAGACATCGTGTTGGCCTAGATTACTGGATGACGGGATTTGGGATTTCCTGCGAGTCAGCATTTTATCATAATCATTATATTCGCGACCTATATCATTTGTTTTCTCAGAAATATAAGCATTCGATAGTACCAGTAGACATGAGAGACGTAAATCATCGAAAGGCGAAGGGAAAAGCAGAGAAAGACCTTTTGTATAAATAACCTCTCATGTATTGAAATCTGAACACTGCCTCGCTTGTATGTATAGTCGCGCATTCCCTTCCATATGAATACTACGTTTTTTTTAACATGTAATTATTGGGAAGATCATAGTTAATTCAATTAGATTTTGATACTCAGTGTTTGGGGGCAATATTCGGACGTTTAAATCGGTCTGGCAATATATATATATATAACACACTTACTATTTTCCTGCCTCTTTTCCCTCACAGAGAGCTCCTTGGCCGGTTCGCAAGGGCTAAGAATCCCTTTTCAGAACATCAACGGCAACGTTCTTGTCATAGTTGTCCTCAGCGAGGTTCGTATCTAGCCCTCATCATCAAGCAGTAATAAAGCATACTAGTACTAGTACTTCTAGGAACCCTAACCCTACGCGGTAGATTGTTGTTGTTCGCGCGGGTGACGGGGCAACAACGCACGTGATGCTTCGACGCGTGCGAGGTCACCCGTTATCCATTTACCACTGAGATAACTCCGCCAAAAGGATCGATCCTTAGGGTAGGAGGAACCCCATCTTAAGAGGTATTTGCATGCTTTTATCCATTTCACGTCTGTTTCTCCAAACACTCATACTACTTGCAGATATCTACAAGTTCCTGCAAGTTCCCTCTTGTCAGAAAGATGAGACTCGAGCAGAAAAAAAATTGCAGCATCTCGATACGATAGCGGATGCCCGTTGCGCCTGCTTCTTAGATCAAGCCTTACTATATCAACAGTAAACAAAATGAAGGTACGCCTGCACCCCGAGTGCCTCCCATATCGGGCAGCTGGCATCCAGGTGAGTCTTTGCTGCCGCTGCTGCGGTTCCGGTATTGCTTTCCTTTCCCAAGTCACAAAACAACAGGATGCTGTTCTTGTTTGTTTATAAATATCCTTCATTCCCTCAGATCACTTCTTCCAACGAATCGAACAGTTCTGCAGCTCCAATACTTACTTGATACATTGCATTTCGAAGCTCAAGCTCAGAGACTCTAATAATAAAATGGAACAGACTCAGCAGAACCTGGCACAGCCAGACTTCAACCTTCTTACAGATGCTACGCAGACCGTAGTACACCAACTTTCTCTTCTCCCAAATATACCGATAATGAACATGCAGAACCAGCTCGATCAGGTCATGGGCATGCTGCGGGGGATTGATCAACATCTCCATCGAATTGACGCGCGAATGGATCAATTGGATGCGCGCATGGATCGATTGGATGCGCGCATGGATCAACTCAACACTCGTATGGACGAGGTTGATGCTCGCATGAATCTGATGGCTGCGAACGTACTAGCCACGTAAGCCCCCTTTCCCTCTTCAAATACTTCCCCTTTTTTTGTTTTTTTGATTTTTTGAACATGGCTAAGATGATTTCTAGCAATCGCAACTCGATCGCGCGGAGCATCAATTCCACGATCAATAGAGATAACGTTGCTCTTGTTCCGCTAGTCAACCAACGGAATGAGGAGATTCACGGCTTTCCAAGAAATCTTGCTGCATTAAATCGGCTGACAGGTGTGAAGGGTTTATCTACTCTGATTTTCTTAGACAGCAATTCTAATCAAGTTTGATCAGGTCGGCAACTGGATATTTTGCTGCGGGAATTTGATATTCCAAACGTTGGAGACATTGAGGAACGCCGCAATCAACTTCGGCAGATCTGTGGAGTACCACCTCGTTTTTAATAGTGAGTAATGGAATTGTGTATCTTGTTATATTTATATTATGTGTTTGAGGGATCCTTCTAACTTTGTACTAGTGGGAATTATGCCTATGTGACCATTTCAGGGTGGGGGAATGAGATGGCGAAAACATATGTTTATATTCATGAGAGAAGATACAAGTGAAAGATGATGGGAGACCACCATTTGATAGCCGACTGCCCTTTCCCAATATCATGATTACGCGTATGAGTATGTGGTTGAACTAGGAAAGAACATTCAAGAAAGAAGTCAGAGCGCCAAGGAATCTGAATTCTAATATCACGTGACCTATAACTATGCGTCACGCTTATTTTTGAACACTCCAAGGTTCCTGATTTCGAAGTTCGATTTTCCCATGAGACACTCCAGCCCAACAATCAGGCGAGCAGACAAATGGGAAAAAACCAACAATGGCGCTTCCGTCGAACCTTCCCTCCAAACGCCCTTCCTTTCTGCTTGCATCATACTCTGCCCCCTCCACCTCCCAAGCCCAACCCGAACGAACACACACTTTCTCTCATCCACTTTCAACATCCTTATCCCGCAGTCTGGACAACTCTAGTACCACGCCAGCGAAGACAGCGTATCTCTCTGAGCTACGTGGGGCCGTGAGCACATTGCAAACTGAGATAAATGAGTTTCTGACTGCCCGCATGGACGAAGACAATAATATCAATCGACAGGCATCTGGCAGTGTGAACATGGCCCAGACTGAAAGAGAACGGAGAGAGGAGGAGAATTACGGGGAGGAAGTTTTGGATGATGAGGATTGATTCTTGAGGAAACACAGCATATCTGCCCCGCATTCACGATATTTTTAGTCAAGCTCCCACACCGTTGACCGAGAACTTGCTTCCTTTAAGCGATCTTACTCTGCCCCCTACCAGTTCCTCCCATCATTGGTTTTTAATGCCTATGGATATGGAGTATGTATTACTCATGGATGCATTTGCCATTGAGAAAATGCTAGTGACTTCGCATCTTCAAATGAACAACGAATATAGAGTGAATTGCACGATGATGGGCCAGGGGGGATCGAATAAAATGGCTAGGAGAGCTCATCGAAGGAGTGGACTACAGAGGTGCACGCGCATGAATTCCATTTAAACCTGAAGTTGGAGGGGTTGCAAATGGGAAGGGAGGGGGAAAGTGGATAACAGAGGGCCAAACATACAAATTAACATTGTGGGCGCTAAGTTTTATATGCCGAAAATGTTAAAAAAAACGTGGAGTTACAGAAAAGTTCCGATGATTATGTGATAGTATAGTGGGGCCCCTGGGGGGAGGTTGTTCTATTTGCAGTGTATGCGTTCACCTATGATGCAGCAGTAGTGCTCCATTTACCAGCGCAACCAAGATGTACGACAGTATTACTATTCAAAGAAGAATTGTTAGCCAGGGATGTCCTCTAAAAACCTGTGTCAGAAGGGTGTGGAACAATGGGACAAAGGAACAGCATACTTTGGGAAAACGCTAATCACGCTTCCTCCCAATCGTTTATGGCATACACCACACACCCTTTCCTCGCTAATAGTCACGAAGCGATTCCGACCCTTATTATGCCCCTTCACGATTTCCTCCCCAAGCTGTAAATTCGCCTGAACCGCTACATTCTGTACCTTGCGTAACGCAGTCACAATCCGGCTTTCATTAGCGACTGAATTAGCCGCCCTTATGCGGCCGCGGAAGTAGAATTCTAGCTCATGCACAGGGAATGTTTCCGGTATTAGTTCGAGGGTGGAACCGGCGGGGAGACGAGAACCGTGCCTGGCAAGGATTTCTATGGCGGGACCGTATTGGGGTTTATAATCGTGCGGTGGGGAGAGATAAAGGGACAGAAGGGTGTGATAAATGGATGGATGGCCGTCTTCGTTGTCTGTGGGCGAGACACGTTTCGTTGCGGCCGTATCTGTGGTCCGAGTTTCCTCATTACGGTGGATATAGTTGCAGTATCTGACCGTGCTGATTAGCCACTAGGGCAGAATGAATTTGGGAAGAGAAAGAGGCTAATTAGTATATCGGACTTACTCTTCAGCTTTGTCCGGACTCTCTAGCTTGAATACATAAATCTCTAGTGCTTGTCTATGTTGACCCATCTTGCTAAAAATGATCGCTCGAGCCTCGAAAAACTCAGGATCTACCTCGTTTGGTTAGTCAATGCTGCTGAAAACACGGAGTTGGGAAGGCGGAGCGAACGACAACTCACCTTCTCTAGGCAGTCGGTCCAGCATCTTAGCCGGCGAGTACTGCCCACTGCCCTTCAACATATCTAAAAACTTCCGTCTACAATCCGTCCACTCCTCTTCACTTTCAAACTCCTGCTGTGCACTAACGTCGCCCGCTTTCCACCGTTTGAGCCGATCCAAATATAACGAGAGTAGACGCTGATGCAAGTCAGGCGACATTTCGTTCAACTCGCCAATGACATGTTCTAGATACCGGATAGCAAGTTTGGCGTCAATGCTCTGGAGGAATTCGAGGACCTTATCACGCTGTAGTGTTTCCGCATTCTCTGTATCTGCCAGGAAAATCTCCATTCCCAGTTCCGGCCGCGCCCTCACGGGCCATTCGGCAAATTCCAAGATTAAATCGATCATTTCTGGCGGGAGATTTTGCAGATATGCGACAGTGCGTTCTGGACCGCGCAGTTGCGAGGCGAAGACTGTTTTTTCTGTTTCGTCCGTCTCGGCCTGGCCAAATTTCTGTAGCAGTTCAAGGGCAGGGCGGTGCATCTTTTTACCAAAGAGGAAGTCGATAAGATCGTTGTAACGCCCGGTTTCCTCGAGTTTTTCCATTACAACGCCCGGGTCACAGAAATTGGCGATGCGGAAAAGGGATCCGGCTAGGGACGGTGTTGCAAACATGTGGGCGCGGAAGAGGGTTGTATCAACCAGTGTAGCTGTCTCGCGAAGTTTCCGTGCAATATCGTCTGAGCTATCGTCCGGAGACAGACCTACTACGTTCCTGACCGATTGGCTGAAGTCATCGGTTTCATTGGCAACTTGTAAAGCTAGGTCGGTGACGGTTCCATCCGGATTAAGAAATCGCTGCAATCTCCGCCGAATGTCTGCGAGAAATCCCTGGAGCGCGTGTGCAGCGGTTTTTAAATCTTTCCCTTCTACAGGACTATTAGTATCATATTCAGATATGTAGGAAGGGTGACTGGATCTCATACCCAAGGGATTGTCCACGGGTTTCACATCAGTGGGCTTTCCACGGACACTGCTTGTCTCGCTAACATCTTCGGACTTCCCCCTCAAAAGAGATCTCACAGAGGATGCATATCCTGCAGGAGCCTTTGCCCTTGCTACACTCTCTGCTACAGCCTCTATACTGTTAGACGCAGTGCCATTCGTTTTATAGGAGGTTTGGTCATCGGCGTCCGACGCTTCCTCTTCAACTTTCTCCTCATCGAAGGTAGAGAGTGGCCCAGCAATGACTTTTGGATACTTGCGAATGACCATCTCGGGAGAAGCACATGCGTCTGTAAATAAATCTAACGAATCACGATACTTCCGCTTGTCAAATAGAATTTGCGCCTTCTGTAGCTTGGCTTCTCGAAGCCTGCCCGCTTTATCTTTAAGCAGCGCGTCTTCCAGCATACTGATTAGGCTTATGGCTTCATCCAAATGCGCTTGTTCGATAAGTGAATCGATTTGCGAGTCGTAGTCCAACGTAGCCATTCGCCAGATGATGCGCTCGCTACCAACCAGAAAGCCTTTTCCTGCATGGGCTAGGCTTATTGTGGGTTGGGGTATGTGAAGCATACTTGCTGAAGGGAGTGAAATGGATTGAAGCAAAGACAAGGTTTCTGGATTGCGGACTTCCAATGTTCCCTTTGAAGGCTCTTGCAATGCTAAGATGTATGGATATGAGTAACCCACGGCCTCCGGGCTTGTGGTCCAAGGGATTTGCCGCCTTCCCAAGGACTCGCCATCGGTATCGACGAAATGAGTATTGACATCCTTAGCTAACAGTATTTCCCCATCCACCAATCGTGTTGCTAGAGGTTTCGGCGCAGTACCTCCCATGCCAATGTAGCTCATACTTGCAACACCCACACCTCCAAGTCGGCCTGTGTCCTGTCCGCCAGGCCCGCCGATACTTCCTGGGCCCACGATATCCGTTACCTTGGAAGATTCCACATCGACCATTTCATAGCTTGAATTCAGGCCCACAACGAGTTTGGTACCCGTGACCCAAGTTAAAGTCTTAATCCCACTTGCTAGTGTGATCTCCTTTGTATCATCTTCCAGTTCCATATCTAGCCACATCCACAGCATCAGTTTTCTCTTAACAGCCACAGCGAGTCGAGACACAATCGATGGTACAGAGGTACTGGGGTCCTTTACGATATTCGATGTAACTGCAAACGCAGATGCCCCTTTTGTTTTCGCTAACTGTTGCTGCAGCTCATAGGTTTGGAGGTCGTGGATAGAAACATATGCGTTCGATAACGAAATCAGAATGCCCGCCTCTTTGATGATGGCCAATTGCTCTATTTTATATCGCGAAAACTTTTCCTGCTCGCGAAGTAGGTCTGTGGGTTTCACGTTCGGTAGATCCACATTCTCCACAGCGGCTCTATTCACATCCATATCCCTTCTTCCGTTCCCATTTTCTTGCTCCCCCACCCCACCTAACCGAGATTCCTCACCGCCGCTATGCTCACGATTCAACTCATTGATGCGATATATTCGGAGGGTTCCCGTATTTAGCCCGACAAGTAGCCGGTCACCGTATGCTAAGAATGACTCGATCTTCGATTTGTCGCGCTGCTTGAGCTGGACGAGAGGGTGGGCCGTGAAGGCCGACAACATGGCTTTCTGGTGCTATCGCTGGAGCTGCGGGGATGAATGTTGAAAACCCCGTTCTGGTTCTGACTGCCGTAGCTGACGCAGGTTGTGGAAGCTCGGTGTCGGGAAGATTTACTTGACCACTTGATGTATAGTTCACATCCCGGCAGTTTCGCCAGCTCGGAAACCAGTAGAACAGCGTCTCACGTCCATGGAGACGAATGAGTGTGTCGATATACGCCGCCTCCCATTACTATCAAAGGTTGGGTTTTCATGACAAAATTGTTGAGTTTGGATCGAGGTTGATCTCAGATGACGCAGATCAGGTTCGCCGATATTAGTCAGCATATTTTAGTCGCAGAGCAACTTGTATTCAGAAGTGACAACCACGATAGAGATAACTAGCGGAGTTGACGACACCAGCAGGGCTGGATCTTTAATTCTGAAAGGCGCAGAAAAAGCTACTCGCAAACCGCATAGAATGTAGCTTGTTCATTTTATCATCGTGTCAGCGGCTATCCAAGCGTTCGTCAACTGATATGTTACGAGTATTGTTCCTGCCATAAAATGTTAAATCACCTTCAAGGGATCTATTGGAAACGTAATACAGTCACATTTTAAAAGCAAGTAAAGAATCAAGTGATGGAGACGCCTCGCACGCCCGCCTGCACCCGTGCATGTCCAAGCCAGGCCTATTGCCGCGATGTCTATCTAGAGAGAAAACCATCTTCCCATGGACGCTTTTTGATTCTATCAGCCATATTCCGCGCCCAAAACTTCAGAGTCTGAGTCTAGCAAACCGCCAAAAAAAAAAAAAAAAAAAAAAAAAAAAAAAAAAAAACCCTCGCTGAGAAATGCAAACGTAGCATTTTTGGTGAGAAATATGTATGTGATGTATTAGTTGTGTTGTTAAGGTGAGGAAAAGGTAAGGGTGAGTGGGAAGGGAGAGAGCGGAGAGTTTCAATGTTTGGAGGTGAGAAATCGTTCTTAGTTGATGCGGACGGAGGGCGCTTGTTTGTATGACGAAATGGCGGTCTGAGTCCCCATGAGGTAAAATGAAAGTGAAAAATCGGTAAGGATTCGATTTATGAAAAATGCTATCCAGAAACGAATGAAAGCCTTATTGCTGCTGCTCATCAGGTGTCTGGTGCTTGGCAGAGGAGCCCTTACCCCGCCATGTCGAGACAGCCGGGATATTAGCCTTAAAGCGCTTTTCTTCCGTCCCGTACGCGCCGGGCGTTAGTTTGATAAGCGTGTGCAAGGGGACCTCCATCCACGGACTTTGTTCCTGCGACATATTCAAGAAGTAGGAGTAGATGCAACGAAGGACGGCCTGGTGGGTGACGATGATGACATTCTCGCTTCGCTCCAGCTCCATGATGATGGGCTCAAGCCGGATGACGACGTCCCGGTACGACTCGCCGCCGCGATAGCGGTAGTTGTATTTATCGTCGTCCCGAGCTTTGAAATCTTCCGGGTACATTTCCGCGATTTCTTCGTAGGTCAGCCCATCGCAGACGCCCGAGTCAAGTTCATCTAGAGCCTTCCATTCTAGCTTATCATATCCGGTTTCTGCGGCCAGATGGCGCGCCGTCTGGATGGTGCGCTTCAATGTGGATGTCCAAATGACAAGTTTAGCTCCGGGAGGAACACCAGACTCTTTGAGAAGACGTGGAAGAGCACGCGCGTACTGCTCTCCACGTGATGAAATATCAGCATCGCCACCGATTTTGCCCAGAAGGTTGAATTCAGACTCTCCATGCTAGAATGGGAGATGTTAGTAGCTTTTCTCTGTAAGAGCGGCCATGAGTAACTTTTAGAATAGACGTACTCGAGAAAGCCAGATTGAGCGGGGTCTAATATGGAGGTTCTGAATATAATAGACCAAACGACTGGATAAGTAATCCTTGATATGATTGATGATTACAGTGGAGCCCACATTTATGAGCTTGACATAGGCATAATTTTTCTCATCCTCATCGATTGTCTGATACACTTTTTCGTAGTTACGGATGCGATTTCTGAAATCTTGCGCAGCCAGTTCTGGGTCCTGGCCCACATAGTCTGGCGATGATGTTTTGACTTCGAGAATGTTGTTCATGATCAGGTCTTCGTCGTCGCATTTCGATTCAACGAACAGGGCTTCGATTCCTGCATTCCTGCATGTTCTGTATATCCATTGTCGACGGCTTTTTGTAGAATTAGTAGCATCTAATATTGCTACCTGTCCATCAGTCTCGGCAAACCAGCGTAACATATCCTTCAGTGCCGCTTCCGCAGCGGCCCGTCGTAACCTTTCTCCGTCCGGATTAGATGTGTCAAAGAAGGCAGCGGTTGGTCGTGGCGTGTCCAGTCGTCTGTACTGGCCAACGTTAAATATTCTCGCGGGAATCCCGACCCAAGCTAAGTAGCGCAAAGCTGAGTGGTGTTAGCGAAGTATACAGGAAATGGAGAGTGTTCATCGTGAGCCTATGCAGGTGGGCTGACCAACCTTTACCAGCTATTAGACTCTTGCCACGGGCCGGTAATCCAACCATCACAACGCATATTCTTGAGTCATCGCTCTGCAATGAAGAAGTGTTAGCTTTGCAAGACGAAAGAAATATCGACATAGTAATGTGCGACTCGAGTCCGAATTCGTGAAGTGATAGGTCATCGCGTTTTTGAAAAAACTTAGCAAGCAAAAAGAAATATAAAACGGGAGTTAGAGGATGATGAACCAAGGGTTAAGCGAATTACCATCCGGGACCAGGATGATGGAGCACAGGTATAGATGGAAATGGCAGAAAAGTCCTGCATCGTAATAAATGCAGAGAGCCCGAAGGTAGAAAGCACTTGACGGTTGAAAGTAGAGCATTGCACGTATCTTGAAATGCATTGATGTCTGGGGAAAAGATCGGAATCCAACCCATTCAGCTGGGAGCTCGAAGTTGCTCTACAGCCATAAGGGTTTGAGAGAGTGGCATTTGTTTTTCACAGGTCAAAGTCCATAAGCAGTGATGCCTACAAAATTCAAAATACCAAAGGCGACGCGACGGGGCGGATAATCGCATAGAGAATGAATCATACGCCTTCGTATGTTTCATGAAGCCGCCTTTGATTTTTGTTTCTTGTCAAACGGTGTAATTCGATGATTGATTAACGATCAGGACGCTGGAGGAGATATACATAATCGTCCAGGGCATATATATCATATCGCCCGCACGAACCACTGCTATTCCGAGGATCAGAAACTGCCAAGCTCACCAAAGTATTAACTCCAGTCTACATAACCGAAGCAAATCAGACGGCACTTTTCAGAGGTGATCCCTGCTTCAGCCCTGTAGTCTTTTCCAATCCTGAGATACATTCGCTGAAGAAGAGTCATGGATAACTTGGATCCACAAGACTCATCAGCCGCGATGAGACGGTTATAAAGTTTCCAAACCGCCCGTGGAGAGGGTAATTCGAGCCAGGTGCTTTAGGACGAAAGCGTCAGATGCGGACGACCATTTTTTAAAATGATATATTCTTCTTGTCCATCGCACAAGCTGCCGAACCATCCCATAGGCACAGGCATCTTGAGCGCCAGCTCTCGGTATCAAAGGGGCAAATAAAGCTTGTACGGCGCAACAGAATACTAGTATTCTCATCCTGGTCCCAGATTCTCGTCACGGGCAAGAAAAATTGTCGATATAAGGGGGTGACAGGCTGTCATCGACTGCCGTACGACAAGGAGGCGCAGAGCGACGAGTTGGCAGGGCTACATGGAGTTTTGGACCCTCGCCTGGGCCAGACCCAATTGGAAAAAATGGAAAATGCGCCCTTTTTGCAGCCAACACAGTGACTCAATCTATATCCACATATTCTGCTCTCGCTGAGGCTTCAAAGGAGCTCTCGCTGCGATGAAAAGGGACAACATTTTTCATATCGGCGTGTGGCTTTGGGTGCAGTCGGCAGAACCCGCATGGTCATGTGCTCTCCTTCCGAATCCATCCTGACACGCCACAAGAGAAAAGTTCATGAACAAGATCGAAGAAACAGCGGTTGGTATAAGAGCAAAGAAAAGGGCAGGGGAAATAACAATAACGATAGCAATACTGATGATCAATGGCAGATAATAAATAAATAGGCAGTAACAGAACAACTCAATGGCAAGGGCACTAGTCATAGTAGTTAAGAGGGGATAAGGAGAAAACTGTGCTGCCCAACTCACCGAGGCAGAGAAGATCTTGGTAGTTGATGGTCGACGACCAGATAACCCAAATGACATGATGCAGTCACTATCGATAGTGCAGATTTGGACGGGACACTATGGTGATTAAAGGAATTCAAAGCTTGCAGCACCGGAACCCCAGTGGAAACTGAGCGGGTACTAGTATGCAATTGCTAGTATCATCGGAGGGCGGAGGGAGTTAGGCAAAAATTGTTTGGTAACGTAATCAACCACCTAACGCTCGTTTCCACCCAACGCTCGCCTTTGTAAATCAATTACAGTCAACTTCAAATGTTAATATCTCAATGAATATTCATTATTTTTAATTTTTAATTTGTAATTTATAAATATCAAGATTTATATTATAATATAATTCAAAATTATTATAAATATAGTTAAAATTAATTAAAATATAGATTCAATTATAAAATAAAATACAGTGAAATAAAATATATAATATTTGATTATAAATTAAGAAATATATATTATATATTATTAAAAATTATAATTCTTATATAAATATATTATAATTTAATAAATATTAAATTATTTTATATAAAAATTCTATATTTTAATTTTTAAGAATTTTTTTATTTTTTTATTATATTTTTTTTATAAATTACAAGTAAAATATTGAAAATTCTTGAAATTTTAAATTTTAAAAAATAATTTATTAAATATAAATATATTTATTATTATTATTATTATTTATTATACTCCGCCCATCCAATGGATATGCGGTTCTGCTACCATTTAGCGTATTCGAAAATTCTGTCATTTCTTGGCAGTCAAAAACAACGCGTTGACACCATTTGAACGAATTTCATCAACTTCCGCAGCAATTTCTATACAGATCTGGTATTCTCTGATTGCAATATATTATTCATATCCTATATTGAATGAAGCTATACTGATTTTCTAATTCGGAAAATTTGTGCATATATATATCATCATGCCTTCAAAACGCCGTTCGACCACAACGCGATGTTCAAACATAAAAGACACCCCTTCCATCCCTACAGCAGCAATAACTTCAGTTTCTACTGCAAAAGCTTCTACTGTGAAAGTTTCTACTGCAAAGACTTCTTCTGCAAAAGCTACTACTATCCCATTTGTTTCTTATGATCTACATAGAAAACACATTCCGTGTATCGATCTGCCTCCCTCTAGAGGCCAGCCATATCCAAATCCTGCTGGCACTTACGTGCCAACCTCTGCTACTCGGGAAATTACGTGAATGAGAAATGACTAAAGTGTTAAAAAGTCTATAAAACAGTTGATAAAAGCTGCATCAAAATCAAGAAAATCTGCTACAAAAACTCCATCTTTACTTCATTAATCTCATTCAGTAAAAAAAGTCAGAATTCAAACATCATTATGAAATTCATCTGAGTTTGTATATGAAGATATTGAGAAACAATCAACAATTAGAATTAATGATGTTGTAAGAGATGGGCTACAAGAGTAATTACAAGAGTAGTGTGAAGTACGCACAAAGGATATTAGAAAGGTAGCAATCTCTATTGTTCAAAGCTAATCGCTGATCTCCTAAAATCCACGGATATCAGCGAGCATTATATAGATAATATTGCCATCGCCACGTATCTATCGCCACGTATCTATTTCCTAATATAGATATCTCCGTTGCGCCTATTACAATTATCTCCCTTCTTCAAAGGCCTGGTCCCCAGGGCTTCTTATTGTGCGAAGTTCGTAATATGTGCTGTGTGGTTGATATTGTATAAAGTTCGCAGGATAGGACCGAATTAATTGTTCGGGTTAATTCCGAAGCGTTGCTGACTCGGGAAAACGTTGTTCCAGTTTCGGTGTTATCGCGGTCCAATCATGATTTAGGCACAACCCCTGAACCCCTTTCCTTTAACCTTTACACCACAAGTCGTATCCTAACGAGATCATCACCATCATCACTAACAACGAATTTTTTTTTTATTTAAAAGAATACACCAATTTATCAAGCAAAGTACGCTGTATCTTCCCATGCGATTTTTATTGCGACATTCGAAGTTTTGGTTGCGTGGTTGCGTTTTCTATTTTGGGTCGGATTTTGTGTTGTTGCAACCTCTTTGATCGATATTGCAATATTGGTTTTAACCACCAACATCTGTTCTTTTCTTGCTGCTTCTTGCCTCTTCTCTCTTCTTAAAAGGTCCTTGATACTGATTAATGTCGTAATAGAATGTCAGAACCAGCTGCTTCCGTTGCCGGTTCAGAACCTATGGAGGGTGATATGCTGAATGCCATCGAGAGCATTTGCTTGGGTTGTCTGGAAAGGTTGCAAAACCCTCCAGTATACCCTTGCTTTGTGAACGACGGGCGGACACGCTGTCACGCCTGCCATATATCGAATACTGGGCAAGGATCTTGGTGCGTTACTTGAGTTATCCGATAACGCTGGCGAAGATGAGGAAGCGGACGGTCCCGTTGAAGTGTTAGAAAGGAACGCAGCAGCATATTGCTGTCGTTGTATTCGACATTTAACAACGTAGAATTAACCTGTATTAGGTGCCAGCAGATGCCGTCGAGTTGGCCCAGGCGGCTATTAACGCAGCTGAGGATTTAATTGTCGCTGGTGCAGACGCTTCGAACGTTAACGTTTTACAGGGCGCTGTGACAGCTGCAGTTAAGTTCTTCGCAGCGAAGATCCGTGGGGCTCAACGAAATGGTTCCCCTGAGGCCCCGGCTGAAACAGTGATTGGTGAGATCCCGGTGGCTACATCGCCGGTCGCAGCTCCCAAGTCATCGTTGAAACGTCGTGCTTCGCCAGTTGAGGAAATCCGGGGTAATAAGTAGGTCTGCCTTGGTGACAATTCCTCAAATGACACTGGCCAAGCTGAGGCGGATCTGTTTTTTAATCCCTGGGCGGAATAAGTATATCCAGCAGTCATCGTCGCCTTCTTCGTTTTCGTTTACTGACTGGCTCCTGATAGGTTTTATTAAACTGTTCCAAGTACTCCTGGCTGTTCACCAAATTTTCTTCAGGTTCCCAAGAATTATCCGCGTCTGTGCAATCCTTCCATTTAACAAGATATTGCGTTTGACCACGGTACTGACGTTTATCCAATATAGCTTCAACTTCCCATTCCTCCTGCGCGTCTATAATTATCGGTTCTGCCTGTGGGATCTGTCCGTCGCGCGCGTGATACGGTTCGAGAAGGGGAACGTGGAACACGGGATGAATTCCTTTATATTGTGGCGTAAGCTTCAGTTTGTACGCCTGCGTACCGCGTATATCAATTATTTGGAAGGGACCCAAAAATCGATGATCTAGTTTGGGTGAAGGTCGCAAGGTGGATATATTTTTTGCACGCAGCATTACCCAGTCCCCTATCTTAAAGCTTTTTGGTATGTGGCGCTGATCATAATACTTTTTCTCAGCTGCTTTGGCAGCTTCTAGGCATTCTCGGATCCTGTTTTCTGCTTGCTTCATCCGTTCCACTTGTTCTATCGCCGACTTTGACGCGCCCGTGCTTGGGGGTTCCACGTCTATACGAAGTTCAGTTGGTCGGCCGATCATCGCTTCAGATGGTGTCATTTTTATCGATGCGTGGAAGGCGTTATTATATGCCCATTGCGCCAGGGGAATCCACTCTATCCAGTTATCCTGCTGGTAGCTGCAATATGTGCGAAGATAATGTTCAATCACCTGGTTCAATCGTTCCGTTTGGCCGTCGGTTTGCGGATGGAAGGCTGTTGATAATTTTCGTCGGACATGGAGTAAGTAACATAATGTTGACCAGAACTTGCTGTTTATTAATGAATCTCGGTCGCTAATAATGTTCGCAGGTAGGCCAAAGTTCTTCGCAAGCTTCCATACAATAATGTCCGCGAGTCCTTCCGCATCTAGCTTTGAAGATGTGGGTACAATTATGGCCCATTTAGTGAACAAATCAACAAATATGACAATAGCATTGTAAGTTTGACTTCCCTTCTTATTATCTGGTAGGCCTTCAATAAAGTCCATACTGATTGTATGCCATTTCTTATCTGGCACTGGATGTGGTTGTAGCAACCCGTACGGCTTATGCCGCGGTATCTTAACGCGTTGGCAAACATCGCAGGTCCTCACATATTCTGCAATCTCATCGCTCATACCATGCCACGAGTACTTGCGTTTGATCGCTTCGATGGTTTTGTCACGTCCAAAATGGCCACCTTGGGGATCATCGTGGTTCATTTTCATTATTTCATGCCTTACGGCCTTGTCTTGCGGTACGTAGACTTTACCATCTTTCCTGAGCAGGCCATCTTTGTCTACTGCCCAGGTCGAACGATCACCTACGCTAGCGTCACCCACCTCTAGTCTTCTGCGAAGTTCAGACGTGCCAGCGTCCCTATTCTGAACCTGCAGCAAGAGTTCGACAATAGATTCAGCTACCTCTTCGCGATAGGCTGTCTCGGACTCAAATACCTTAACGGCTAGAATCCGTGGCACCAGGGTCCCTAGGTCTAACCCCGTAACGCCGGCGACTTCGTTCTCATCTGCAGGTGCGTTCTTTATCCTGCAGGGTTTGTTGTCATCGATGACTACGGGCCCCTTCGCCCAACAATTTTCTTTAACTTGCAGATTTTTTCGCACCATCTTGACACATTGGTCTAACTTTGTGTTTTCTTTTGTCTTTAGTGACTTAAAGATCCCCTTACGCAGCTTCTCTTGCAGGGTAGGGAGCCCCGTCAAGGGAGCTGCGTGTTTTATATAATCTGGGCGACGACTTGGTGCATCTGCGGGATTATTTTTCCCAGGATGGTGCTCAATTTCAAAATCGAACGCTGAGAGCATTTGCATCCAACGAATCTGACGCCCATTTAGCTGCTTCGTCGTCATGAAGCGCCGGAGGTTGGCATGGTCAGATAAAACAACTATTGGGTGCCTGCTACCATGTAGGTAGTGGCGCCATTGCCTGAAAGCTTCTACAATCGGCAACATTTCTAAATCATATGTTTGATAACGTCTTTCTGCTTCTGTGAGTTTTCTGGACCAAAACGCGATCGGGTGCCAGTGACCATCATCCATTAATTGCGATATTACTGCGGCGATTGCAACGCCAGATCCGTCCGTTTCTATACGGAGTTTTCGCTGCGGATCAAAATGAACTAACAACGGTGCTTTTGTAAAGCATTCTTTTAACTGCAGTATTGCGTGCTTGCAGTTCTCGTTCAGTTGGACAGGTGCGTTGTTCTTCCCCTTTTTTGTTTCGTATCCTTTTAGCAACTCAGTCAGGGGTGCCGTTATTATCGAGAACTTGTATATGAATCGTCGGTAGAAGTTGGCGAATCCTAGGAATGTTTGCAGCTCGTTTATTGTTCGCGGTTCAGGCCAATCTAGGATCGTATCGACGCGGCGTTTTTCGACAGTGATGCCCTGCGTGGTAATCACAAAACCCAGAAATCCAATTTCTGTTGCATGGAACGTACACTTACTAAGTTTCACATATAGTCTCCATCGCCTTAAACGTTCCAGCACATTCTTAACATGGGCGACGTGTTCGTCAAGCGTATTCGAATAGATTACGATATCGTCAAGATAAGCCACGCAATATACGTCCAAAATATCACTGAGGGCTTTGTTGATATAAGATTGGAAGGTCGCAGGGGCGTTAGTTAGCCCAAAGGGTAAAACCAGATACTCAAAGTGTCCGTATCGTGTTCGAAATGCCGTTTTCCATTCATCCCCCGCTCGTATGCGGATTCTATGATACGCGTCCCTAAGATCCAATTGTGTGTATATTTTGGCACCTGCTAATCTATCGAGTATTTCACTTATCAGGGGCAGCGGATACCGATTCTTGACTGTTATTTCGTTCAACCCTCGATAATCTACGCAAAGACGCAGGGTTCCGTCTTTCTTCGGTGCGAATAATACTGGGGCACCGGCTGGGCTCTTGGACGGGCGTATCCAATTCTTCTCTAATGCCTTTTCGATATATTCTCGGAGGACGGAGAGTTCTTGAGGTGACAGGTTATATATCGGTCGGTACGGTGGTTCCTTGCCAGGTTTGAGATCTATGGCATGATCGTGGGGTGCGTGTTCCGCGTCAGGTATATCTTCTCGGAATACATCAAGATAATCCTTATAATCATCCGGGATATTTGGCTCAGTCGCTGCGTGCGCAGCTCGCAATGGAAAGGCGGCAAATATAATGTTGCTGTCGTCCATTAAAGTTGCAAATTCCTTAGCGGTATCTAGGTGCACATGGCTAATATTTGACGCTTTCCTATAGGTCCAGCATCTTCGCACCCAGTCAATGTCGGGGTTCGCAGCTTGCAACCATGGCATACCCAGAATTACATCGTATCCGCTGATGTCGGCTTCTTCGAAATGGTGGAATCCTTCCCGAAGGACATGTTCATCATCGATAATCTTCATTGCAGCTTTTCGTTGTGCATATGATTTAACCCTATGATTATCAACTGCTTCCACTACTTTCGGTTTACCTTCTGACTTCGAGAAATATTTCAATGCCCAAGCATGGGACACGAAGTTCGCATCCGCGCCAGAATCTACTAACGTCCACGCCATTGACCATCCCACTTCTGTCAACATCCAGGTGTTCATTGCCAATAAGTGTTTATCTCGCAGCCTAGTCGTCTGTATTCCCAATGCAGCAGCTGCTCCTACGATTGGGATTGCTAGTTTTTTGCTTGTCGGACTTGGTTGCGCTTTTCGGGGTATAACATCCAACAATCGTTTGCGACATGCCCCTTCTTATGGCAGTGTGAGCACTCCTTCATCCAATTATATTTATCTTTCTTGGTTTGTTCGGTTGAACCCGTCTGTTCCTCTCGTTTCCTTTTATTCCGGTGGTTGCTAGATTTATCAGAACGACGCTGATTCCCTACGAATATCGCAGGTCTGCCTTTGCGAATGGCACGTCGTCGCTCCGGCATATTTTCCTCGAGAGTCTGTAGAGTTCGAAGCAACTCTTCGTAGTTCTGGGGTTCTTGATTTCGACGGTCGAGCTCGGTGCGTAGCACCTTCAATGCCTTACTACGCAGGTTATCCATTCTCTGTTCCTCGCTGTATGGGGGTAAGTAATACTCCCAATCTTCGAGATATTTAGAAAAGTCGCGTATCGACTGCCACTCCTGTTGCTTAGCATCCTGGAATCTTTGGCTCGCCAATCGACGCTGATTCTGCGGGTCGTTAATTTGCATCTCTAGGTGTGATAGCATATCGTCGAATGTTAACGGTGTTGCTCCTCCGCGTCTCTCATATGCTGATACAAAATTCAACCACTTCTGCTTAACGTGGGCATCAAGGTAGAGTTTGGCGTCGTTTATCTTGCGTTCTTCTTTTCGATAATATAGACGGTGGCGTGCAAAGAGAGTCAACATGCGATCTTTATAGTCCTTAAATTCTAACATATTCTTTCCTCGATAGTAATCCTTAATCTCCAATCTCGGCGGTGTTTCGTTATCATCATCCATATTGTCTGCGGGTCGATTTTGCGGCGGTTCTGCGGCGATATCCGGGGTTGGTCGGGACTCGATAAAAGTATCTTCGCGAATCTGTGCTTCCAACTCGTTGAGGCGTTGTTGCGCGTGCAGAATAGCTAACTGTTGCTCTCGTTCACGGATTTGATCGTTTAACTGTTGCAATCGGGCATTGTGGTCGTCGGAGGTGGTAGAGGATTCGGGTTGGTTCCCAAGGGATCTTGCGCGTGTTGAAACCATCTTGCGTGTTTTAAGTTGCGTGTTTTAACTAACGTTGCGTGTTTTGTTGTAGGTGTGCGTAACAACGGACCACTCAAATAAGGTTTAGAGCGATTAGAATTGTAAGAGATGGGCTACAAGAGTAATTACAAGAGTAGTGTGAAGTACGCACAAAGGATATTAGAAAGGTAGCAATCTCTATTGTTCAAAGCTAATCGCTGATCTCCTAAAATCCACGGATATCAGCGAGCATTATATAGATAATATTGCCATCGCCACGTATCTATCGCCACGTATCTATTTCCTAATATAGATATCTCCGTTGCGCCTATTACAGAAGTATTTGTGCAGTCATGACTCCTGTTGAATATCTGCCTTGCACAGGCATTAAAGAAGGTTATTGAAATTCAAAAGATTTTTTAAATTGACTTCAAAACAAACTTTTACCAACTATTGATACTGCATTCAACAATCAGCTAATGATTATTATCATGAATAACATTGTCAATTCATATTAGAGATGAAGTAATTCAATTAATTCAGACAGTTGATCATATTATTCATTATTTTTCTTCTTATTCCTCAAATTTCAATTTAATTGAGCTTATATTTTCAATTTTGAAAACTTGAATGAAATGTCATTGAACCTTTCTTCATCAAAGTTGTACAATTTAAGAAAAATTCTTAAAATTGGCTATTCAATAGTCTTGCTGTGACCGATTTACTCAATTGCAATTCAGACATGCTGCAGAAGAAGTATATATTAAAGAAGAAGAGTTCATTCAATTTAAACGATTTTTTTGATAAATATAAAAATAAAGATACAGAAGTATGAAAATCAGATTTTAAATTCTTTCTTTCTCATTTTTTCATTTGAAATTAATCACTATCATATTTCACTGTTATATTCATCAATCATGTATTGTGTCATACTTATCAGCTGCATGTTATTTATATCATTGTCATTGAAATGGAAGGCTCTCTGTTCATTCCTCATTCATGTCATTTTTTATTTTTTTTTCTTGCCGCGGCGGGTACCTGTCAAAAAAAAGATATTAGTCATGGAGAGTGTCATACTATTCAGGTTGATATTTCAAGTGAGGCTATGTAATGCACTCGTTTATTATTTCCTTATTATTATATTATCTTTGTTTATATCTTAGTCTATTCTTACCTCTTTCCATTATACTCTCGCTACCACTATTTCTATATGTATATATATATGGATGTATGTATTTCGCACATCTTCTTTCTCTTTCTTTTCCTCTTCAGCGATTAACTACAACTACAACTACAACTACAACTACAACTACAACTACAACTACAACTACAACTACAACTACAACTACAACTACAACTACAACTACAACTACAACTACAACTACAGCTACAACTACAACTTCAACTATACTACTACTATAATTACTATTATCTTCTACTACACTACATACTATCTTCTACTATTCACTCTTCACACTGTCATCACCCCTCACAGGCTATCATCTCATCAAATTGTAACAAGGTCAGAAATAATCACTCATCCTCACCTAACTAATATAGAAGCCTTAATCACTGAGTTATAAACCTTCATTTAAATTGAAAATAGAGGGTTGCCATACAGCTTTATAATGTCTGACATTCATCACATTGCTTCTCAGTTTATCAAAGTCATAGCAGCTGTGATCTTTGAAGAACTGTTTCTTTATTGATGAAAACAATTTTTAAATAAATGAAGCTCTCATTGAAATTCACAGACAAAGCCATTGAATATTTCTGTGTTCAAAACTCATATGTAAATAGAAGTTTCACAGTTCTCCATATTTTTAAGATTTTTGATATTTCAGTCATTTGGAAAAATTATATTTTTAGTCTGCTTCCATTTTTACCTCTTCTCAGCATTAGATGTTTAGCTAATTCTTCAATTAAAAAAGAGGATGAGAATATCAATATCATCAGAATCAGATTGAATAGAATTGAATGACTTTGATGGAATTATCTTAAGAAAAGAACTTGAAATTAATGAATGTCTGAATGTTAAAGACTAACTGAGCAAATAAAAATTGAAGAGCGGCTCTCATTGTGAATATTGCTGTCAATCAAATTATTGAACTCATTGTATTTGATGTCATTCTTGAAATTCTTCACAGCATTTTTGTTTTTCTTTCATTGCTTTCATTTGATTCATCATTTATTGCTGTATATATTGTTCTTACATTTGTTGTTGCATCTTTAACATACATTTCATGACACTCATAGTTTGCTATATAGCAGATTGTTTAATAGATTGATGAGATTTTTGAGAAATTGAACCTTGCACTGTCTGTCAATATTGTAAAAGTTTCATTGATGACTGTTGTAAAGTTGCATCTTCAGATGATATAGCATTTGCTCATGATTCATATTAAAAAATAATAATATTATAATGCAATGAAGTGTCTGCAGAATCAGAATAGCAATAATTATTTTAATTGATGCAACTCTATTATCAACATTGAAAACAATTCATCAACTGTCATTAAAATTCATCAGTATTTTGAATGGCATTCAAGTTTGTAGAATTCTGCTATAGTAGTTGATTAATTCAAGCAGATTGATTAGATGCAAAAATAAATGATGAGTTTGAAATATTAATCTCTTTTATAAATTTTAATTTTTTAAACTGATTCAGAAGCTCTTCACAATTCACTTTGATTTCAAAATCAAATTTCAAAAAAAATTGAAGGAAATTTCAATGTTGACTCATTAAAAGCTCTGTAATTTGAGATGTTGAAGTCAATGAAAAATCCTCAATATCATAATTGTGTAAATTACTCCATTCAGTTGTTGATCTCACAATTGCATTTTAAGTGGTAATTGAATAAGAAAGATTTTCAATTAATGATGTCAGTGAGCTCATAATAACGTTCTCAATATTAGTTAAATTTAACAAATGAACTGTGGTTCTTGATAAAATCTTCTGAATAGTCAATTTTTTGTTGATGTATATATATAAATTGATTGCAATTAGAAAGTCAACTTTCTGCATATGATCATTCATAGACTCTTCAAGTTCAGAAGTAAATATTTTATTATCAGTATTTTGAAATACTCAGTATACTTCACAGATCTTTCTATTGTGAACAATTTTTTAAAAGTTTTTTTTAAATGAATACCGATGATGTGCAGCTTCTTCTTTTTCATTTAAATTTTTAAAGAGTGGTAATATAAAAAGAGAATCATCATCATTCTTCACATCTGTAATAGGCGCAACGGAGATATCTATATTAGGAAATAGATACGTGGCGATAGATACGTGGCGATGGCAATATTATCTATATAATGCTCGCTGATATCCGTGGATTTTAGGAGATCAGCGATTAGCTTTGAACAATAGAGATTGCTACCTTTTCTAATATCCCTTTGTGCGTACTTCACACTACTCTTGTAATTACTCTTGTAGCCCATCTCTTACAATTCTAATCGCTCTAAACCTTATTTGAGTGGTCCGTTGTTACGCACACCTACAACAAAACACGCAACGTTAGTTAAAACACGCAACTTAAAACACGCAAGATGGTTTCAACACGCGCAAGATCCCTTGGGAACCAACCCGAATCCTCTACCACCTCCGACGACCACAATGCCCGATTGCAACAGTTAAACGATCAAATCCGTGAACGAGAGCAACAGTTAGCTATTCTGCACGCGCAACAACGCCTCAACGAGTTGGAAGCACAGATTCGCGAAGATACTTTTATCGAGTCCCGACCAACCCCGGATATCGCCGCAGAACCGCCGCAAAATCGACCCGCAGACAATATGGATGATGATAACGAAACACCGCCGAGATTGGAGATTAAGGATTACTATCGAGGAAAGAATATGTTAGAATTTAAGGACTATAAAGATCGCATGTTGACTCTCTTTGCACGCCACCGTCTATATTATCGAAAAGAAGAACGCAAGATAAACGACGCCAAACTCTACCTTGATGCCCACGTTAAGCAGAAGTGGTTGAATTTTGTATCAGCATATGAGAGACGCGGAGGAGCAACACCGTTAACATTCGACGATATGCTATCACACCTAGAGATGCAAATTAACGACCCGCAGAATCAGCGTCGATTGGCGAGCCAAAGATTCCAGGATGCTAAGCAACAGGAGTGGCAGTCGATACGCGACTTTTCTAAATATCTCGAAGATTGGGAGTATTACTTACCCCCATACAGCGAGGAACAGAGAATGGATAACCTGCGTAGTAAGGCATTGAAGGTGCTACGCACCGAGCTCGACCGTCGAAATCAAGAACCCCAGAACTACGAAGAGTTGCTTCGAACTCTACAGACTCTCGAGGAAAATATGCCGGAGCGACGACGTGCCATTCGCAAAGGCAGACCTGCGATATTCGTAGGGAATCAGCGTCGTTCTGATAAATCTAGCAACCACCGGAATAAAAGGAAACGAGAGGAACAGACGGGTTCAACCGAACAAACCAAGAAAGATAAATATAATTGGATGAAGGAGTGCTCACACTGCCATAAGAAGGGGCATGTCGCAAACGATTGTTGGATGTTATACCCCGAAAAGCGCAACCAAGTCCGACAAGCAAAAAACTAGCAATCCCAATCGTAGGAGCAGCTGCTGCATTGGGAATACAGACGACTAGGCTGCGAGATAAACACTTATTGGCAATGAACACCTGGATGTTGACAGAAGTGGGATGGTCAATGGCGTGGACGTTAGTAGATTCTGGCGCGGATGCGAACTTCGTGTCCCATGCTTGGGCATTGAAATATTTCTCGAAGTCAGAAGGTAAACCGAAAGTAGTGGAAGCAGTTGATAATCATAGGGTTAAATCATATGCACAACGAAAAGCTGCAATGAAGATTATCGATGATGAACATGTCCTTCGGGAAGGATTCCACCATTTCGAAGAAGCCGACATCAGCGGATACGATGTAATTCTGGGTATGCCATGGTTGCAAGCTGCGAACCCCGACATTGACTGGGTGCGAAGATGCTGGACCTATAGGAAAGCGTCAAATATTAGCCATGTGCACCTAGATACCGCTAAGGAATTTGCAACTTTAATGGACGACAGCAACATTATATTTGCCGCCTTTCCATTGCGAGCTGCGCACGCAGCGACTGAGCCAAATATCCCGGATGATTATAAGGATTATCTTGATGTATTCCGAGAAGATATACCTGACGCGGAACACGCACCCCACGATCATGCCATAGATCTCAAACCTGGCAAGGAACCACCGTACCGACCGATATATAACCTGTCACCTCAAGAACTCTCCGTCCTCCGAGAATATATCGAAAAGGCATTAGAGAAGAATTGGATACGCCCGTCCAAGAGCCCAGCCGGTGCCCCAGTATTATTCGCACCGAAGAAAGACGGAACCCTGCGTCTTTGCGTAGATTATCGAGGGTTGAACGAAATAACAGTCAAGAATCGGTATCCGCTGCCCCTGATAAGTGAAATACTCGATAGATTAGCAGGTGCCAAAATATACACACAATTGGATCTTAGGGACGCGTATCATAGAATCCGCATACGAGCGGGGGATGAATGGAAAACGGCATTTCGAACACGATACGGACACTTTGAGTATCTGGTTTTACCCTTTGGGCTAACTAACGCCCCTGCGACCTTCCAATCTTATATCAACAAAGCCCTCAGTGATATTTTGGACGTATATTGCGTGGCTTATCTTGACGATATCGTAATCTATTCGAATACGCTTGACGAACACGTCGCCCATGTTAAGAATGTGCTGGAACGTTTAAGGCGATGGAGACTATATGTGAAACTTAGTAAGTGTACGTTCCATGCAACAGAAATTGGATTTCTGGGTTTTGTGATTACCACGCAGGGCATCACTGTCGAAAAACGCCGCGTCGATACGATCCTAGATTGGCCTGAACCGCGAACAATAAACGAGCTGCAAACATTCCTAGGATTCGCCAACTTCTACCGACGATTCATATACAAGTTCTCGATAATAACGGCACCCCTGACTGAGTTGCTAAAAGGATACGAAACAAAAAAGGGGAAGAACAACGCACCTGTCCAACTGAACGAGAACTGCAAGCACGCAATACTGCAGTTAAAAGAATGCTTTACAAAAGCACCGTTGTTAGTTCATTTTGATCCGCAGCGAAAACTCCGTATAGAAACGGACGGATCTGGCGTTGCAATCGCCGCAGTAATATCGCAATTAATGGATGATGGTCACTGGCACCCGATCGCGTTTTGGTCCAGAAAACTCACAGAAGCAGAAAGACGTTATCAAACATATGATTTAGAAATGTTGCCGATTGTAGAAGCTTTCAGGCAATGGCGCCACTACCTACATGGTAGCAGGCACCCAATAGTTGTTTTATCTGACCATGCCAACCTCCGGCGCTTCATGACGACGAAGCAGCTAAATGGGCGTCAGATTCGTTGGATGCAAATGCTCTCAGCGTTCGATTTTGAAATTGAGCACCATCCTGGGAAAAATAATCCCGCAGATGCACCAAGTCGTCGCCCAGATTATATAAAACACGCAGCTCCCTTGACGGGGCTCCCTACCCTGCAAGAGAAGCTGCGTAAGGGGATCTTTAAGTCACTAAAGACAAAAGAAAACACAAAGTTAGACCAATGTGTCAAGATGGTGCGAAAAAATCTGCAAGTTAAAGAAAATTGTTGGGCGAAGGGGCCCGTAGTCATCGATGACAACAAACCCTGCAGGATAAAGAACGCACCTGCAGATGAGAACGAAGTCGCCGGCGTTACGGGGTTAGACCTAGGGACCCTGGTGCCACGGATTCTAGCCGTTAAGGTATTTGAGTCCGAGACAGCCTATCGCGAAGAGGTAGCTGAATCTATTGTCGAACTCTTGCTGCAGGTTCAGAATAGGGACGCTGGCACGTCTGAACTTCGCAGAAGACTAGAGGTGGGTGACGCTAGCGTAGGTGATCGTTCGACCTGGGCAGTAGACAAAGATGGCCTGCTCAGGAAAGATGGTAAAGTCTACGTACCGCAAGACAAGGCCGTAAGGCATGAAATAATGAAAATGAACCACGATGATCCCCAAGGTGGCCATTTTGGACGTGACAAAACCATCGAAGCGATCAAACGCAAGTACTCGTGGCATGGTATGAGCGATGAGATTGCAGAATATGTGAGGACCTGCGATGTTTGCCGACGCGTCAAGATACCGCGGCATAAGCCGTACGGGTTGCTACAACCACATCCAGTGCCAGATAAGAAATGGCATACAATCAGTATGGACTTTATTGAAGGCCTACCAGATAATAAGAAGGGAAGTCAAACTTACAATGCTATTGTCATATTTGTTGATTTGTTCACTAAATGGGCCATAATTGTACCCACATCTTCAAAGCTAGATGCGGAAGGACTCGCGGACATTATTGTATGGAAGCTTGCGAAGAACTTTGGCCTACCTGCGAACATTATTAGCGACCGAGATTCATTAATAAACAGCAAGTTCTGGTCAACATTATGTTACTTACTCCATGTCCGACGAAAATTATCAACAGCCTTCCATCCGCAAACCGACGGCCAAACGGAACGATTGAACCAGGTGATTGAACATTATCTTCGCACATATTGCAGCTACCAGCAGGATAACTGGATAGAGTGGATTCCCCTGGCGCAATGGGCATATAATAACGCCTTCCACGCATCGATAAAAATGACACCATCTGAAGCGATGATCGGCCGACCAACTGAACTTCGTATAGACGTGGAACCCCCAAGCACGGGCGCGTCAAAGTCGGCGATAGAACAAGTGGAACGGATGAAGCAAGCAGAAAACAGGATCCGAGAATGCCTAGAAGCTGCCAAAGCAGCTGAGAAAAAGTATTATGATCAGCGCCACATACCAAAAAGCTTTAAGATAGGGGACTGGGTAATGCTGCGTGCAAAAAATATATCCACCTTGCGACCTTCACCCAAACTAGATCATCGATTTTTGGGTCCCTTCCAAATAATTGATATACGCGGTACGCAGGCGTACAAACTGAAGCTTACGCCACAATATAAAGGAATTCATCCCGTGTTCCACGTTCCCCTTCTCGAACCGTATCACGCGCGCGACGGACAGATCCCACAGGCAGAACCGATAATTATAGACGCGCAGGAGGAATGGGAAGTTGAAGCTATATTGGATAAACGTCAGTACCGTGGTCAAACGCAATATCTTGTTAAATGGAAGGATTGCACAGACGCGGATAATTCTTGGGAACCTGAAGAAAATTTGGTGAACAGCCAGGAGTACTTGGAACAGTTTAATAAAACCTATCAGGAGCCAGTCAGTAAACGAAAACGAAGAAGGCGACGATGACTGCTGGATATACTTATTCCGCCCAGGGATTAAAAAACAGATCCGCCTCAGCTTGGCCAGTGTCATTTGAGGAATTGTCACCAAGGCAGACCTACTTATTACCCCGGATTTCCTCAACTGGCGAAGCACGACGTTTCAACGATGACTTGGGAGCTGCGACCGGCGATGTAGCCACCGGGATCTCACCAATCACTGTTTCAGCCGGGGCCTCAGGGGAACCATTTCGTTGAGCCCCACGGATCTTCGCTGCGAAGAACTTAACTGCAGCTGTCACAGCGCCCTGTAAAACGTTAACGTTCGAAGCGTCTGCACCAGCGACAATTAAATCCTCAGCTGCGTTAATAGCCGCCTGGGCCAACTCGACGGCATCTGCTGGCACCTAATACAGGTTAATTCTACGTTGTTAAATGTCGAATACAACGACAGCAATATGCTGCTGCGTTCCTTTCTAACACTTCAACGGGACCGTCCGCTTCCTCATCTTCGCCAGCGTTATCGGATAACTCAAGTAACGCACCAAGATCCTTGCCCAGTATTCGATATATGGCAGGCGTGACAGCGTGTCCGCCCGTCGTTCACAAAGCAAGGGTATACTGGAGGGTTTTGCAACCTTTCCAGACAACCCAAGCAAATGCTCTCGATGGCATTCAGCATATCACCCTCCATAGGTTCTGAACCGGCAACGGAAGCAGCTGGTTCTGACATTCTATTACGACATTAATCAGTATCAAGGACCTTTTAAGAAGAGAGAAGAGGCAAGAAGCAGCAAGAAAAGAACAGATGTTGGTGGTTAAAACCAATATTGCAATATCGATCAAAGAGGTTGCAACAACACAAAATCCGACCCAAAATAGAAAACGCAACCACGCAACCAAAACTTCGAATGTCGCAATAAAAATCGCATGGGAAGATACAGCGTACTTTGCTTGATAAATTGGTGTATTCTTTTAAATAAAAAAAAAATTCGTTGTTAGTGATGATGGTGATGATCTCGTTAGGATACGACTTGTGGTGTAAAGGTTAAAGGAAAGGGGTTCAGGGGTTGTGCCTAAATCATGATTGGACCGCGATAACACCGAAACTGGAACAACGTTTTCCCGAGTCAGCAACGCTTCGGAATTAACCCGAACAATTAATTCGGTCCTATCCTGCGAACTTTATACAATATCAACCACACAGCACATATTACGAACTTCGCACAATAAGAAGCCCTGGGGACCAGGCCTTTGAAGAAGGGAGATAATTGTAATAGGCGCAACGGAGATATCTATATTAGGAAATAGATACGTGGCGATAGATACGTGGCGATGGCAATATTATCTATATAATGCTCGCTGATATCCGTGGATTTTAGGAGATCAGCGATTAGCTTTGAACAATAGAGATTGCTACCTTCTTAATATCCTTTGTGCGTACTTCACACTACTCTTGTAATTACTCTTGTAGCCCATCTCTTACACTTTATCATCTGCAAACAATAGTTTACAGACTCGGTCAAGTTGATGATAATGAAATGATTGAATACTTCCATATCACAGTAGATTGCTCTGAAGCTGGAAGACTGTCTGAAAACTAACATGACATTTTCAAGCTATATCATTTGGCTTCTAATTAAGAAGAGGCAATTGCAGTAAGTCAGCTTATATTGAAGGAGGTAGATTATGTGAAGAATACAGCTTAGAAAATTCAGAGTGGTACAGATTCTCTTGCTTCTGTGACACAGCCATCAATGTATATATTGCTAAATTCAGAAATCAGCACTGCTTTATTCAACAGAGCAGAGAGGATAATAAATCATCATCAAAGCATATAAGACTTGTATAGAAATTGAGGCAGAAGATGATGAGAATTGATTTCAATCAATAATTGATTCAAATGGTGTCAACGCGTTGTTTTTGACTGCCAAGAAATGACAGAATTTTCGAATACGCTAAATATGTCTAGCTAGGAAAACCCCACTGCGCCTTGGCGCAGGGGGGTGAAAAACCTTGCGCACAGTGGTGTTTTATCTCAGTGCCTCAGCCTCTCTCAAGATATTTTCGTTGCAAACTAGCCACAGACTAACTCCTTTGAATACCTGCCAAGCCCTGCTAACTTCTTTGATCACCTGCCAAGTCCTGCTAACTTCTGCACCAATGAGAACACAGCAACGTAAGCAACAAAAAATATCTCGTAGAGAGTCTGAGAAAGAACGGTCGCCCCTCTGGTGATACTGAAAAATCTCCACCATACAAATTCATCCTCTATCTGCGAAGGCATACATCGACATCAACCACACAGGTTTTCTGACTGAAAACCATACCATTCAATTCTTTTATATATTATCTACAACTTGTACTATCCTAAAAGTTATCACAGCCTAATACCAGCATGGAAACTCCAGTTGAAAATACCTCCTCATTTGGCCTCTTTGACCTCACGTCCGGCGCATACTCTTCTGAGTTATCATCACCTCCTCCTTCATCAGACATCAATGATGGTTATGAGACAGTGGATGATACTGAGGAATCTTCTGGATTAGACAATGAGTCCAACAACAGTCCTTCCCAACGCCGATACTATGTTCAAAAACAAGGCCCTCGTCGCAACCGTGGCACTATCAGCAGGTTGCAGGATTTCACACAATTTATGGCTGAAAGACGCTGGGGAATTGAAGGTCTCATATCTGCCTGGGTCAGCGATAAATACATTCTCTCTGCATCACGATATGCAACTGGTGTAAAGCGACGGAATGCATTACATCGTGCAGTATTACGGACAAACCTTCTTCAGAATCATGAGATGGTACAGCAACAACTTAAGGAAGAGCTGAGAGAACTTATCAAAACACCATACTTTGGCAGGTTCTCTCCAGATTTGGATCTTAATACGATGGACTTCAACTCAGCATTTAAGGACATGCAGGAACAGGCACCAATCTGGTACATGCTTCTATCAAAGGTTCTTGTTAATTCTCGATCTGGACGGCAAAGTTATACGTGGAATGCCAACAAGTTAACTGTCAACCGGCGAATCTTTGTTATCCTCAGTATAATATGTCATTCTCATGCGTTAAAGACCTCCAACTTCTTTGCTGCTTTATTCTCGGCTTATCTACATGGATCTGGTGTCAAGCGCCGAGTGGTAGAGACTCTGTCAAGCTTTGGAATATGCCATAGCTATGTGCACGGAAATACGTTAATGAGCCAAATTGCCGACATTGAAAAGGTACTATTCAGTTCTTAAATACATTTAATTCCAGGTAGCTATAATTCCATTAATATTTATCATCTTGTGGCATCTTTTTATAACTTCTGTTAACTTCTGGACCAATCATACTAATTTTACTATAGACTCATCTCTTAGCAGCCGCCTCAGACATGCCTCAATCACACCATACTGCTGCTTAACATGGTCTGGATGTGAGTATTTCCCAATTAATTCAGGCATACTTTGGATATCCATCACTAATATAGCATCTAGAGCGCTAGGTGATAATGTTGTTTCAATGTCTTGTGGCTCTGCCAGTGCAGCCCTTCTGTGCCGTATTTGATGTCGACTTCGCCGTTTCCGACGGTCCGGTGTGGGGTCTGATTTGCCACGAACCATCTCACAGGATTCTCAATAATTGGAAGATATTATCAGGAGCTCATAGAAGCCTATGGGAGGTCGCAGAGGTTTGCAGGGGTTCACTGTGTAAGGTATAACCCTACTTTGTGCCACAGAAACCAGATGGTTTGACTGAGAGGTAGTATCATCAAGAGAATGTTATTTGTTGGTAGTCGGACATTCTAGGCTTAATTCTGAGCATCCGAGTATGTTTATCTTGCTGATAGGATATGTGGTTGAGAATCTATAGATTATTTTTGAAAAATCAGTATACATTCTGGTGAAAAAACACGAAGTGACCATTTTTGACACGGTTGTTCGTACCTCAAAAGGGCTCCTATCATAATAAAAAATAGTGTGTTCTATAGCTTTTTGATAGACAAATCTCCCTTACTATGCCGAATTGTGTCAATTGATAAGGATGGAGTTGGCGCATGGAGCAAAGTTGGCCATCCCTTCAAAATGACCCGGGGTTACTCACAACGCGCGACCGTTCTTTCTCAGACGCTTCGCGAAGGAAAATTTTCCTCCTTCCTAATTAAGACTAGTTTAAGCCATGTAGATTATGATTGGTCCAGAAGATCTCAGCACTTGGCAGAAGTCAAAAGGAGTTAGCTTATAATTTTACGAAGCGAAGTGGCTGAGGAACTGAGATAAGTGAAGATTGATCTTTAATATAATTAAAAGGTCCATTGGCTCACCGGCATCACATGATTCATCGGCTCAGCCCCCTTTTATTTCAGCGTCTTTGGCCCTGCAAGATCTGGGGGGTGGGTGCTTATATCGTGATTGCCTAAGGTGGTTAAGGGTTATTGCAAATCATCATCTCTCCCTGCCATCTCCATCGCCAGCTCCAATATAATTAGCGTAGACGAGTGATTATTAGTAAACAGTAGAAGGTAGCGATTCGGCCCACGAATAACGTGTGGTCTCCCTCAAGCTTAAGGGGCATTCTGAGAACAAAAGATGCCTTGAAATTCTGTCATGCCGCAAGAACGCTGATTTCTGAGCTTGTGGCAGCTCAATCCCTGGGAAATCATATGTCCCTGAGAGCTACACCAAAATCGTGGCCAATCGAACACAGTCAGCAGAAGAAGAATGCCGTAAGAAGGCAAAAAGCCCTGGGGATACGTAAATTTATTGTTGTGGAGCACGGAAAGAAATGCCCCAGGTAAAGATTTAATTGTAAATGCCTATAGTTTGGTGGGAAACGCCTTGAGAACAACAAATAACTATCAGAAAGTTGCAGGTTTACATAAAATTTGATTCATGCCCTGAAGCACTGAAAACAGAGCTGAAATGATACCGAGCGACTCTTGCCCTTGCTCTTGCAAGTCCGAATTGCACATTCGGAGGCAGGTCTTTTACCCTGACATGGTGTGTACGTGTAACTTCTTTTCTGTAAAAAAAAAAATCTATGCACTGAATACACACAGGCCCGGTGCTAATAACAGTCAACTTTACTTCCGCAAGTTAATTGCCGCATTCCGGGAGGAGTACATAGAGCCCACACGAAATACCGAAACCATGGTGCTCTTTTCACTCAAACAGCAAGCCATCATTGCTCAAATCCACGGTTCTACAACATACATGGATGTAAAAACTGCGCGCCCAGTGGATCTCCGCACAGCTGGGTCCCCCCGCCCTTTATGAAGGATTCAAGAAGAAATCGGAACAACCAAAGCTCTTGAAGGAGAAATGAGAAAAAGAGCACCACAGGGAAGGGATCATGATAGCGTGGCTGTTCTGCGATTGGCTTTCGAGAGCGGTAACTGCCCTTGAGATGCTGGACGAGAAAATGCCCAAGATTTGGTTGAAAGAGCATCCGCGGTATTTTGGGGGATCTAATCCACATATAACAACCCAATAACTGCAATCGATGGCTGACTCTGGCATGCTGAGCTCGCACTTCGCGGCGGAAATTATCTCAGCATGCTCAGCCTCTCTTCTCGATATTTTCGGATTAGCGCGACCAACTAAACTCCTTTAGACTTCTGCCAAGTCCTGCTAACTTCTGGACCAATAAGAGACTTCACACGTGCTCGCAACCTAATATCTCGTAGAGAGTCTGAGAAGAAACGGTTCCATCGTGTGTGGAAAATCAACACCGCCCATACAAAATATTCGATTGACTTCGAAATCATACATCTACCCTAAATATCTGCCTGATCATCACCAAACCGATATTTTTCAAATCCTCAGCCATTCTGCTATCATCTCTGCTATTTTACAACTCACTACCCCTTCTCATCATGTCACAATCGTTGACAAAAGACAGCGTGTCTTTTGAATCTCAAGACACCCAATGTCAGACGCGCTCCAGCCAATATCCTTCATCACTCGAAGATGAATCCTCTCTACAACCACTACAGTCTCCCAACAATGTAGATGATGAATATGACACATCAGACAGTGACTTAACAGAGCTTGAATCTATTGATACTCCTTCGGAATTCGAGATCACCGATACTGATACCGATACCCCGCGAGCTTGTTCACGATCAAACCGCCGTGGCCCACAGCACCTGCCTACAATGCCTTATAACCGGCAGAAAAGACGGTCAAAATTATCTCGCGTTGTCAGAACATTACAGCGAAACAGTTGGGGAATGGAGGCCTTTATAGAGGCTTGGATTCAGAGTCCCGATATCTTGACTCATCGACGATACAGTACTCCTACGAAGCGGCGAAATGCACTTTCCATAGCCAGTTCTGGCAATGAATAAAGTGTCGCTATATCCATATATCATGCGCCGAAGTATACGGACTTGTTCTATGCGTGGCTGAAGAGTACACTCAGGATCTGGACGCGGGCCTTGAAGTATTCGTTGAAGACAATACTGAATAACATCCTGTTGCTTGTCGATACTATCTGGTCCGGCATAGCTCATGACAAGTTGTGGCATATCTTCAATGTTCATTGAAAGTATTTGCTTTAATGATGGCTTTTGAAGCCGCTGTTGTAGCTGACTTGCGCGTTTTCTTCGATCCCCCTTGGCCATATTTGATGCAGTTGATGGGACGTTGTCCGACCCAGCTGTCAAAAAGAAGTGTTATGTGATTGGTTCAGAAGTTGTCGGAAGATCCCAGAAGTTGTCAGGAGTTCAGAGATGTTGTCAGAAGTTGATGTGCCGCGTGAGGTTGCCAAGAGTTCAGAAGTTGTCAGAAGTTGCCGGAAGTTGCCGGAAGTCGCTGGAAAATACACTCGGTGCTTTGACTAGAGTCTCTGATGGCTGGATAGATGTTTTGATGGCAAGATCAAGGCGTTGGATGACTAGACATGATCATGGTTGAAAAATTAGCAAATCGTTCCCGTGTTCAAAATCATAGTAGCAGTTTTCGACGCGACACTTCATACTCAGAATATATGTATTTTCAGATAAAAATTACATCAATCGACAGGAAATTGAAAAATTAACCCTCCAAGGTGGTAGAGAAATGATCTATGAGTGATGTTGCACAGTGATTCTATCTCAAACATTATGGTTGGAGCAAATCGTTCCCGTGTTGCTAACAAACAGGAACCGTTTTTTCTCAGACGCTCCGCGAAGAGTTTGCTGGGGATGTCCCATTTAGGTTTAGTGTAAGCCCCGTGACAGTTGATTGGCTCAGATGTTAGCAGGACTTGGCAGAAAGTAGCAGTAGTTCGGATTGGGTTGAGTTTGCTGAGATAAGGCGGAAACAAGATGCGGAGCGGAATCACGTGACCGATTAACATTCATCTTTTCCTCTGACTCCCACTGACGCTGCTTCACATCCGGCGAAGCATGGAGATCGCACTGAAGGGATGGAAACGCAACATGCGTTGAGAAGCATTCTTAGCGAGATTGGTGTGTAGGATCCAATGGACTTGACAAGGTACCTTTGGTGAGCGGAGGGTAGACCAGACCAATCGTTTTCGGCGACAAATTATGGCAAAAAAGAAAAGCGCAGCGACAAGGTGAGTCTCACAGGGCTGTCAAGACATCTTGATGCAGTCAGAGCTGTGACACAACTTGAGAAGTTCTCTCAGCTCTTCAAGCAGAGTCAGATTCTGGCTCGAAACTGATCATGAATTCAGTTGTCTTTAACTTCACTAAAATTTGAAACTGCCTTTGATTAACTCCGCACGGCGCAGATCATTTGAGAGATAAGTTAGTATGACTGGTCATTCAGACTTAGATCAGACGTGTCAGTCTTATCACCGGTAACTTCTGCGGAAATTATAAATGGGGAGGTTTCTCGCTCTTGCCAGGGGTCTGGTAAGTCAGACGAAGTCAGTCTCTTATTAAAATCGGAAAATATCTCAAATTTGAATCTGTGCTTCTTTTATCCTGTGATTAGACTAAATGATTCTCAGCTCATAACTGGGAGATCAAACCACACAGTCAAAGAGAACAGTTCTAGAGGATAATTGTTTCTCGAATACACAGCGGCTTTGACTGTCTCATAGTTTCCGTTAACAATGAAGGATACACTAGCCTGGACGAGAACGATCTCCGCCACAATCCAGGCAGAGCTAAATGGTCGCAACATCATCTATTTCCCTGGGTCATGCGAATTCGTTGATAGCGAGACCGACTACTTCACGGCAGGGGCCCGGGAAGTCCAATCCGCTGCTGTTGCGCGACCTACCTCAACGGCCGACGTCTCGAAGCTTCTCAAGGCGCTCCGTAAACATTTGCCTTCTGACGTGCCTATCGCCGTCCGCGGGGCCGGACACGCGACATATGGTGGAACGGCCAAGGCCGCTTCCGGGGTGACTATCGATATGCGTGGGATCAGAGGTGTTAGCATACTCTCCAGTGGGAAAGCTGTTCGTATCGGAGCGGGTGAGAAGTGGGGGTAAGTTATCTCTCATCTATCTCACCACATCGCATTTGGCAATTGGTATCGTGGCATGGTCCCTCCCTGCTCAGTCGTTGAGGGACGCCTGGCTCTGCGCTTAGCTCTTAAATTGAAGTCTAAGGTCAACTCCCAAATCATATCCAGACGCTCAAATATATCTATATACTGTACATATATATTTAAGATATTCAAGCTTCAATTTCCCTTCACTCAAAGAGCTAGAGCCATTTTTCTCCCGCGAGGTGATGCTGACTTACTACATTTCAGATCTGTTTACGCCGCACTCGAAGAGCACAAGCCCCCCCTTACCGCGGTAGGTGGGCGCATGCCCACCGTCGGCGTTGTCGGGTTTCTACTCGGTGGCGGGCTTTCACATCTTTCTCCTGGCTATGGTTTCGGAGCAGACACGGTGTCCGTATGGGAGGTAAGCGGGCAAACAGCTCAGTGGCCTGTTCATAGATAACAACCTAACATTTCCCATTAGATTGTCCTAGCATCCGGGGAAATCGTGAGCGCAGCGCGAGATGAAGACGCAGCAGACCTCTGGGATGCCTTGCGCGGCGGATCGACCAACTTCGGAATCGTCACAGCCGTCGAGATAGCCTGTTTTCCCCATCCAACAGTGTTTCGCGGTACAAATGCCTTCTATCTATCTTATGCGCGAGAAGCTACCCTTAAAGCACTTATCGACCTGGCTTCGGAGCCATTTCCGGAAGATGGGAAACCTATCAATTATGGCATATGGTGCATTACACATTATCTTGGTCTGAAATTTATAAATGCCCTATTGAGTACTACTGGCGCGTCGGCAGAGGTGGATATGAATCCATTCGTGGGTATATGGGGCCGCATACCTTGGACCGGGAGCCTTACGGCTACGTCGCATGGCAAACTCATCGAGGAAGAAGGCAAACTCGCCCCCAAAGGCGGCGCAAGAATTCTTAATAATACAATCACAGTCAAGATGGACTTCGATTTACTCAATGTTTTGGTCGACTTGTGGTATTCATCTGTCAATACCATCCAACAAAGAGTATCAGGACTCATGTATTCACTTGTTTTCCAGCCGCTTTCAGTCGGCATGCTGGAGGCCTCGTGCCGGTCAGCTCCCTCACAGCCACCGGCCACCAACTCTCAGGGCCTGGACCCAAAGGAGGGCCCTCTCATCGTGCTTGAAATCTTTATGACCTGGACGAACATTGAAGATGATGAGTTCGTGGAGAAAGCAGGATGTCAGTATCTAGCTGATGCACGTTCACTCGCTCGCCATATGGGCCTTGACCATCGTTACATTTTCCCTAATTATGCGTGGCCCACAGAGGAGGTAATGAAAAGCTTCGGTGATGAACGTTTGACAATCTTGCGACGTACAGCTCAAAAGTGGGATCCAGAAGGCTTTTTTCAGAGCCAGTTTGTGGGAGGCTTCAAGATCAATAAGTAATTAGAAACAGACTCAGATCATGCTATAACATAATCAACCACTCAACACCTGCATGAGTAATTTTATTTCAATCAACTTCAAATGCCAATATCTGCAGCAGCAGAAGCAGGCAATGGAGGACAGAATCTCGCGGCACTCATAGAGAGAAGTCTCGGGTTTACGTGCAGATTTCAAGAAAGCGAACAAGACGCATCAGGGGAATGTCTGACTTTTTTTTCCTTGAAGAACAAAGAAAAATAGATATAAAAGTCGCAGGCGCAGACATTACTCTTGAAGGTTGCATCCCGTCAGGGTCTCGAAGCGGCAACCATCAACATGGAGGGAAGTAAGCTCCCAGCGGGCATGTTGATAGCGTATTGTAGCGTGACTTGCTTTTTGTTTGTGTTTTGATATAGCATGCATTTGAGTAAGAGTGAGGCTGGACATGATTTGTGAGAACCGCAACTCCTTTTATTATATATATATATCTCTATTGTACAAAACTAGTTCTCTAGGCTCCGTTGATATTCCAACGCCAGTTTCTCCCGAGCGCGACCCCGCACAACAGTTCCATGGGCCTCCTCTGCATGACTTAGAAGAGTAGATTTGGCCGGGAGCACCTTCCCCTCACAAACATTGCACTCAACCCCAGTGGCCGGCCATGGAGGGTTGATATGTCTTCGTAGAAAGTGCCTTGTAAGTGATCCGGATGTTGCGTATTTCATAATGCGGTCCTCCAGCGCGCAACTAGGATTCCCAACACAGAGAAAGCAAACGCGAGGCCGAAAGCAGGTCTGAGGCTGTTCAGCTGTAGACTTGGCCTGCACAGACTCCATTGCTTGGTGCAAGAGGACCTCAGTGTTATCCTTCACCGAGCACCTCTGCCGCTTGGTCGGAGGACAAGGGTCATCATCGACCGTGGGCCGGCCACGGGTCTGCGTGGGCCGGCGCGAGGGCCGCCCTTCCTCCACGCCACAGAATGCAACTCCTGCGTTGATTGTGTTGATCCTCCGCTGATATTCCGCTTCAAGATTAGCGCCCGGCATGGTCAGCACGCAGTCAACAAACATTAAGTGCTCGGGAGGCATGAAGGCCTCGTGCTCGAAAGTGTCCATGACTTTGGTATCCACCAGCTTCCCGGCCAGTTGTCGCTCAAGGTCAATCACAGGCTGCTCATTCTTATAGCGCTCAAGGTTCTCACGGATCTGTCGGTTCCGCTGCCGCTGCTTCTTGTTGCGCAACTCACGGGTAGCCTTGTTGTGCTCCGACTTTGCTTCTGCTGTCCGATCACGGAAAACTTCCAGTCTCTCCAGCACCTCAGGGTTGGACTCGGCGAGTACTCTGTCGTCAAGGTGCCCTAGAGAAGTCTTGCATACCCTGTTGGCACGTTCTAACTCGGCTTCACGATCCTCCCATTCCCGCTTGCGCTTCTGGACAGTATCCTGACGGCCACGGACAACTGGAAGGTAATTGAGGGACCGTGATTCTTCTGGAGAGAGCTTATACGGTCGGTTGGGGTCGATGGATGCACTCATCGAGCAGGCAAATTGCACCAATGCTGTTTGGGAGCCTGTTTTCCGGACTATTCCCTGCGCGTCAACGTCGACGTCCACCTGATAATGCTTGACGAAGGTGCGAATATCCGCGTGCTGGAGCATGACGTTCTGAAGAGCTTCCGTAACTTCCTCTGTTCATCGTTAGCCCTCCGACATGACTGCAACATGAAGAAAACGGAGGGCTACTTACCGCTGTTGTTAAATGCCTTAGCTCCAGCATATCGGAGGTTGTACGGGTGGGCGACCTCCTCAAAGCCCGTGATCTCACCGGCTCGGCGCATCCGGGAACTCACCATGGATGGAGTCATCCTCTGATCCAAGCAAATTTTAAATCCGGTGGATGTCGGCTCCGTCTGGCAAAACACAAACTTATCCAGTAATTCATCCTTTAGTAGTAGCGGCTGCTGTCCCTTGCCATCCAGCACTTTGGCGCTGTAGAGTTTCTCTGCGCAATCCAACACTGGTCCACTTGTTGAAATTGACTTGAATCCTCCAATGTGAAAGAGCAGAGTCAGCAGGCAGATATGCGGGCTGAGAACCAGGGTCGGGTCAAAGATGATTTCCGGAATCTTAAACTCGTTCCTTCAATTCTGTCAGTCAACCAGGCCATGCCGCGAGGATCAGAAACACATACGGTGCCTTATCTCCGAGAAATCTTTTAGTAAATTCTGGTTTTAAGAATATGAACAATCGGGGGCGTCCGCCGTCTGGAACTCGAATCAGGGTTAACACGACATCTCAATACCGAAGATGGAGGATCGCCGAGGGACGGCTGGCGGTGATGGCAGCAAGCTGCAAGAAGAGAAGCATTTGAATGCGCTGCCAACCGCAGACAAATGTCATCTCAGTGGTGGTGAGAACGACTTGAGCGAACTCAGCAACATCTTCAATATACATGTTCTTCTTTGGCCGCCCAACAAGAGCCAGCTCTTTTTCTGTGGCCACCTGTGCAACAACCTGCAAGAGATTAGTGGTGCTTCTGGTTAAGTGATCCGAGGAGAGAGAGTATAGGTGCTCACATCCTCCACCTTGACAATTGTATCTTTGCTGAGTCCCGATGCCGTTTCCTGTTTGAGGACAAGGTGCCACCACTTCCAAAATGTCTCCAGTGAGCTTTTGCGCTTAATGCCCGGACAGTATCGATTGTTCTTGCCACGACGGATATCACACCGCCAGCTAAAGAATGCATACAGGAAGCGAACCGTCTCCTCTGAATTAGAGATCCGATCCCATTGCCGCTCCGCGTTCGCCTTGATATGCCGACAATACCTGCCCAGCGCCACTGGTGAGCTTATAACACAGTCTAAGGGTCAAATGAGCCACTGCCTACCTCTCCCAGTAACCACGGGTCTCATCGAGTTTTTCCTGGGTTCTGGGGCTGTACCGCTTCTGTCGAAGCTGAGCGATATCAAGGCTCTCTGCTAAGGCCAGGTAGTGTTCGGGGGGGAGCTGGCCGTCGTCGTCGTCTTCATCGTCGCTGACGGAGCCACTTTCATACCCACTGTCTGAAAAGATGGCATCCAGCGCGGAGAGGGTCTCCAGAGCAGACCTGACATCCGTCTTGCTCCTGCTCTGCTTGTCAGGCCCGGCCAAACAAGAGACAGGCGCCATGATCAGGACGGCCCAAGGAGAGAGCCGACAGGAGAGAGGGACAGGAACAAGTAATGAAAGACTTAGACGCTTTCCTGGATAGAACTGACCCGGTAGTGCTGCGAGGGGGGGGAGGGAAGGGAGCCGCAGGCGGCATGGTGAGAGTGACGGGGACTGGAGGCAGAGAGAACAACACGATCCATGATCTGGGGAGGGAGCCAAATCCGACAGAGTGAAGCATCAAAAACAGCTCCCCTCCCCTCCCAAAAAAAGGGCAGTGGGTGAGCGAGGGTGAGCAAGGGTGACTGAAAGCCACGAAAATGCCTTCTAAAATCGTGGCCACGCGTGGAGGGAAGGGTCGCGGCCGTGGGGATAGATTCACGTGATGATCGAGGTTGGGCGGTTAGCGGGAGGCCGAAAGCAGCGGCGACAACAGCCATTTGCAGCCTCCGGCCAATCGTCACATCGTTTTATGGAGTATTTTAAAAAGTTTAATAAATTAATAATTCTATATTTTTTTCTCATAAAAATATAATATAATATAATATAATATATATCTATAAATTATTGTTCTCTTTTTTAGAATAGTTTTGAATGAATATTCATTGAGATATTAGCATTTGAAGTTGATTGTAATTGATTTACAAAGGCGAGCGTTGGGTGGAAACGAGCGTTAGGTGGTTGATTACGTTACTAGTAGTGTGTGCGATTTGCACCTCGTTAGCTGCAGTGAAAATAAATGAATACCACAGGAGGAGTATATATATAATAATCAATTCGTCCGCCCAGTTCGCTGCTCGTTCAGTTCAGTCAGTTCAGTTCTCGAAGGAATCGAAAGAGCGCCGGTTCGAAACCGTGCGTTGTGGTGTGGCGGGTGGGTGGCTTAGACTTGGATGCCTCTAGCGAGAACATACTAAACTACGATTTATCACCAAATTAATTGGATGAGAAGGAGTGCTATCTACACCCTACTCCTCTGGTGATGCAATGGCTAAAAAGCAATCGAACACGAAAGTAAAGGCAAAGGATAGAAGCAGACGGAAAAGATATGGTGTTAAATAGCAACCTAATGGCTGGCTTGCTATAACCCATCGAACACGATTAAATGTTAAAACATCCTAACTCCAGTGAATGGCGAATTTCCCTTGGTATGGTTCCCTACTGCGCTCGTTGACTTGTTTGAAACAAGCGTACAATTCCTTCATGCTCTTAGAAATAATAATAGCCACAATTCCACGGCCCCAAACAATTAAGATCACATTTTCCTCCCATCGCCCCTGGTAAAACACTCGGATCCCTATGTCACAAGATTGTGTCGTCTCAAGGCCCGAATAAGGAATCCAAGGAGGACCATCCGAAAAGTTCGGTTATGGTTGGAGGCGTAGCCAGATTCCGTGAACCAAGTCCCTCTCGCCGGGATAGGACTCTCAGATTTTTCATTTACACCTGTGAAGTCGAATATAAACATTACATTCCAATCAAAAAGTGCGACGTCTGGTATAATAGTGGAGTATTTCCTCGCTTGCTTTGATGACCAATAACCATTTTCGACAAAATTAGTCCGGTTCGGGCTTTCCATGGCGGTTCTCAGTTTTGATGCAGCGTTTGCTTGATTCGTCAATCCTGGGTTAAAATCATCCAAATGTAGGACCTTTGTGTTTTTAACTTCGAGAATGGCGATGTCGAGGGTCTGGTTGCCGCTGCGATACACCCATCGCAAATCAGTTCGACAACCACAACTTGAAGCCACTTCACCCCTGCAGTCAAGGATTCCCGGAGGGTAGAATTTCATTTGCCACGATATTGACAGGGTGGAGGAGATATAGTAATGCGGCCCGAAGGACATCAGCTTCTGTATGAAGAAAGTGGCCTGGT